TTTTTTTTTTTTTCCGAACCTGTGTTTCTTTCTAATATTTCTCATACGTAGTTTCTCATTCCTTTTTAATTTCTCCTGCAAAATCCCTGTCCAGGGGCGCGCACAGCCCATCGGTTGTGTCTCAAGGCGAGCGCCGCGCCCAGCCCGCCTCGGGGAGAGCTCCGTCCTGCCGCTGTGCCCCGCGCTGCCGGGGGGCGTGCTGCCGGGCGGTTATTTATTCGCCCGCCCCGGCGGAGGCGGCCCCAGGCCCGGGGTGCAGGGCTCGGGTGTCCCCCGCCAGGCGCTCCGGCAGCCTCTCCTGGACCCCCCCGGGCCGGGCTCTGCTCCCCGCCGCGGCTGCAGGGGCTTCTCTCCTCCTGCCCGCGGCTCCGGCGCTTTGCGCGTTCCCGGGCACCGCTCTGTTCTTCAGAGAACAGCTGCAAGAACTCTGATCAGTGAGTAAACGAAATCGTTGCGATGTTTGTTAACGGACCCGCTCCCGTGGTGGCCGGGGGCCGTTCTCGGAGCAGAGGACGACCGGCCGACAGGCAGCCGCTGCCGCTGCTTTTTCCCCTCTCCGAGACCCTTGCCAGCCCGCGCGTCTGGCTCGGCTGGCCTTGCTCTGTAGGCTGAGGTGCATGATCCTCTTTCAAAATGACTTTTGGAACGTCATCTTCTGAAAAGTCACTTTGCAGATTCTCCTCTGCAGCCAAAAGCTTTGTTCTGTTCCGCGAAACCCATGAAACTGCTGTGGCAGCTGCACTCCTGACGTGATAGAACCTGTTCCCTGTTCTCTTTTTCTTTTTTTTCCTGTCCTGTAAGGAGATCTGAAAAAAGACATTTCTGGTCGCATTGGAGGTATGAAAAAGTAAATGAAAAATAACAGGGGGGAGTAGGCATTTGCCTTAGGCTGCATTTTCAGACAGGCCTGTGGTGTTAGGTACCTCATCTCCGTGAACTTTAAATAACTCTTGGATTCATTTTTCGAGAATCCAGCCATGTGTACTTCTCTCTCCTAAGCAACACTAAAGTACTACTTTGTAAAAACGTTTATTTACCCAGAAACCAACTTTTAAAGTGGGATTATTTGCAAGTTCTCAGATGGATTAGTTTTAAAACCACGAAGAACAGTCCTCTGAAACTAAATCTAAAGAGGTTTTGCTCTGTACTCTTACTGATTGCTTTTCCTTTTTCCCCTCAGAAATCATGTGAAATTTATTCCCTGTCGCACGTTCACTGTTTGACTATAGATTTTTAAATCAGTGAATCATCTGCTTTCCTTCACAGATGCCCTCAGAACATGTCTAATTGGACAAGTCTGTGGTATGTCTGGTAAGTTTATTATTAATCTGACTAACCCAGAGTAATTTGAAAGTTATTATGAGCAGTAGTTGTAGGCAACGGAAACTCTCTTCTCTCAGGCAGGACAGAGGAAAGGGTTTCTCCTCGGTTTCATGGAAGTGGAATAAGTTACAGACGAGCCCACGAGGGAGATAAGGTGTCGGGCAGGGGACAGCATTCGTCTAGGGAGATGTCATCTTTCCTTTCTGAGGCCACTCCAGTTGAACTGCAGGGCTGTGAGCAGGCGGCTCCGCGGAGCGCGCCGGGGCTGCGCAGCGTGGGCCTGCCGGGGCTCTCGCCCGCCGGCGGGGCAGCAGGTGCTGAGCTCCCAGCGCCGTGTTTTCAGGCTGAACTCCAGCTGATGACGAACCTGGGTACTGGCTCTCGGAATGACTGAAAGGGGGAGAACAGAAGTAGAAGGGGAAAGCTCTCGTCACAAGTGCATTCGCCTCTTGCCTAACGCAGGCACTGCAGGGATCCGAACGTTGTTTTTGTAGTTTGCATTCTGTCGGTGTATTAACTTCGGTGGTAGCACACAGAGGGAGTTGGTTATTTTTAGCTGTCACTCAGTCTGGACTAATTTTGGTTGCTATCCTTTGCCTTCTTAGAACGTGCTGATCCATTGCACTGTTTAAAATACATAGTTACATAAAATATTTTAAGAAGGCTTCTGTAATTAGGCAGCGTTGAAATCATGAAAGCAAATGAGCTCGAGCTGAGCTTTCTACTGCCGAGATGCCTTCTCCTGGGTGATTTCTGCCTCCGTGGAGGGCAGCAGCAGGCGAGGGCGTGCTGGTTTCACAGGACACACTGGCATGCAGCTGGTGGAGTGTCAGGGAATGCCGACTGGCTCACCATGAGGTAACACTCCTACACTGGAGGAGTGTCTCAGAGCAAAGTTCCAACAGGGCAGCATGTTCATAGAATCGTCTAGGTTAGAAAAGACCTTGAAGATCACCCAGTCCAACCATTAACCTCACATAGACAGTTCCCAACTCCACCAGATCCCTCAACATTATGTCGACTCTACTCTTAAACACCTCCAGGGATGGGGACTCCACCACCTCTAATTTGCAAGAAAATGCAGGAAATTTGTAGAAGTTTGAGGCCCTCAAATCCGACCTTCATACTGAATGTAGTCTTTACATGTATCTGACTGTCATACTAACAGAAATATACTCTTGTTAAAACTAAATAAAACAGTTATTGAAGAAATGTTTATTTTAGAATCATGGTTTTTATGGGCAAGTACTGTCTTAGATTTGGAGAAAATAATAGAATGCTACTGAGGCCATTTCTATACATATTTAAGGTGGAATATAATCCTAACGAGAAATTCAGGAGCATGATCTGTCATACAGTAATTCCTGTCAAACCACTATGAATGTACTTTGTCCTGGGACCTATTGATACATCTTTACAGGACTTCCAAGCATTTCTTATTGCTTCATCTTCTCGTGCCATGTCTTACTGCTCACCTGGCTCGTGAGGAGAGTGGATTCATCTGAGAAATTGGGGGGCGGGAAGGTAGAGTTTCAGTCGAGAGAAGCGCCTGAAACACTAGCGTGTCCACCTAGGTATCCTACAAATTGTTAAATAATAAACTTCGTTAAACAATACCTAGAGATAGAGTTGTGTTATCAAAACATACTGCAAAATATAATTTCTGTCCTCATCTGTAAATAAAGGTCCTAGACTTAGGAAAGTTGGTATTTGTACTTCCCTCCAAGTACGTACCCGCTCTTACTGTTGACAGTGGAGCCATTCTCCCTGCATAAAAGTTGAAAATACAACCCAAGATAATTAAGTTACGGCATCTGTGAGGCAGAAGGGATTGTACCCACGGCCAGTAGTACTTCAACCTGTGATTAAGTGTTTGTGATCCAACTTCCTAATTCAGGATCCAGCACCCATTCAGAACTAAACCTCGGAGGTCTGGCCTGTCCTTCACCCAATTAGAGTGAAATTACATTCAGCTCTGGAAGAAGTAAACCGTAAGCAATGAAATAATGGTATCGTCCCTCCTTCTCTAAGGTTAATCTTGCTGACAGTGTTCCTGCTCCTGCTCTCTGGGATCACAGCGAGCTGCATCCAGTTCTGCTGCCGGAAGAAGAGGCTTCCAGCCGAGCCCTTCCCTTGCCACCCTTACGACCTGGCAGGCAGTGCCGTTGACAGCGACAGCACTGCCCACAGCACAGTGACCTGTGAGTATCCCCTGGCAGTCAGCGCTTCAGCAGTGCTTTGCTACCGAACGTCTGCCTAGAATTCTTGGCTTGCAGTAACTGGGACTTTCTGAGGAACTCCCAGAACAACTTGCAGCCCCGTAGGGTGGGCACGCGAGATAAAGGAAGGTCATGAGGACAACACAGTGAGTGAGTGCAGAAAACAAGTAGGATTTAACAGTACAGAGGTTAAACTAAAGTCTGTAGTGGGTTAACTTCTTAAGTGTCATCTCCCACATCTGTTCTTACTGCCATTCCCTTATTTTTTTAACTTTCCTGCCCATCTCACTGTCCAACTATCCCAGCCAAAGTTCTCTCTAATGTGAGGAATTGTTCACAGCTGTTCATGTACGTGTACGAACCCAGCTGACACTACCTCTGTTACAACATACATCAGCTATTTCACAGTAATGACTGGATGGTGATAGGCAGAGACATTTTTAATTCTGACTCCTTTCTTTTGGAGAATGATTATATCTTCCATCATGGGTAATTCTATACTGACAGCTTTTAGTATATAGTGCATATGTTCTGACACCACAAAAACGAGTCCATAATTTCTTGGAGAAAAGCAGGATTAGACCTTTAGGTATCAGCAGCCCATGCAGGTGTTTAATTTTATTTTTTTTTAAATTCCTTTTCTTCACAGCATATAGCTCACTGCAGTACCCTCTACGTGCCCCTATTCCTTTGATATTTATGGATGTGGGTAAGAACACTGTGTCCCCTCCAGCTTACAGTCTCTATGCAATGGAGTTGCCACCTTCTTATGATGAAGCTGTCCAAATGGGTAAACAACGCGCTGAAGTAGGACAGATAAGCCAGAAACTCAATGACATCCCTGGAGAAGTGACGTCAGGTGGGCTGAATCCCATCCCATATTCACCTGATACAATCAACAGAAATCCAGCAACAAAGGCAAATTCAGAAAATTCAGAAGATGCAACAAAAGAACAGCCACAGCTCTGACTCATTTCAGGAGGGGAGTAAAGGAAGGGAAGGACTGTAAGAGTTAAAGAAGACATGAAGAGTTTGGTTTTGTAAGCAGGTTACGATGGGAGGGTGTTTCCTCTCATGCCCTTGTAGTGATCGGTCAGTTAGAAGAAATTTTTTCTGTGACTGCTGTAAACTCCTGGTAAAACTTCTTCAAGGCCATGAAGTAAAAGGGCAGCAGTTTATAAATGCCTGTAAAAGTGGAACATGAATTCTTGTTCATCTTCTGATTAAAAAAAGATATTCCTTGTGTCCGGCATATGGCAATAAAAAACGTCAGGGGAATTTTGCCTTCTTGGGAACACAGATGAAGAGTCAGAACAGTACAAACAGCAAGTTGTTCTGGAACAGAAGCTTCCCAAACTGGAGTTGAAAGGGGAATCCTAGCAAGTCACACTGAACAGCCTCTGTAGTTTCTCTTCTTTTGAGAACGTTAACTGTCCAGAAGGTTCTGGAGTGCTACATAATGGCACAGGCTCCTTGAACTGCAGGAAGATGGCACACAAGGACAGGAAAGTGTGGGGAGGGAAATGCGTTATGTTATGTTTCACAGTGAGACAAGGTTTTTTCCTTGGTTATGAGACCTGAAGGGATTGCTCTTCATTTTTAAAAAATCTTTAAACTTCTATTTTCAAGATGAGTTGGCTTGTAGGTGGGATCTTTTTACTACTTATTTTTGCCAGTTAAAGTACAAATTAGTCTCAAAGAGACACTTGCACACATGATTAAGCATTACTAATGTATTTCAAATATTCATCAAGCTTTCAAAGATGCCCATAACCTTTATCTGCTCAGGTGTCAGGGTCTCAGTCAGTACAGACAAGAAAAAAAAATCAAAGATTCCTGGCAGCTTTCACCAGTTTAGTACATAGATGAGCTCAGTAATGTGCAGGATGGTACAAAGCGTGCTCTAGCTGTGCCACGTAGAATAAGTTACAAATCCAAAATACCATAGTACAGGCTGGGCAATAGTCCAAAGAAATTACTCTTCAGGGATGATTCTTCGTGAAGTACTGATAGCAAGGATAACTGCTATGCCCCATTTAAAAACTGGGAGCTCGGAGTTGATCACAGTGGTCTCAGCCCAGACAAAAATATGGGCTATGAGAGGCCTTTTTTAAAACGACAGCTCTTTCCCTTTCTTGCCCCTCCCACATTCCAAATAGTATGAATTCTGTCCACTCCTGAGTAGTGATTTTCTTTGAATCCCCTTTAGCAAGGTGCTGATTTGGCTGCCTTTAAGAACATGAGCAATCTACAGGATGGGATTATCTACGGGGTAAGAGCAGGAAAGGAAGCACAAGCACTAGTGCTATTAATGAATGTAGTGTGGAGCACTAGGTCAGAGCTAATGTTGACTGACCTACTAACAAGAATATGACTGATAGTCTTCATTTTTGCTGAAGTTGCTTTGGTAGCTGTGAGGAGATGCTACCTTCTGCAGATATTTAGGTGTCGGTCGTTAATAAGCAGTGGAAGCGGTGGGCACAAAATCTTGCACAACTTTTAGAGGACTATTCTCTGACAGCCCTTACTGCAAGAACTACCCTGGAAATGAGCACTAAAATTTAAAAATTAAGATCTCCCTGCCAGCCAGCAGGACTGAGACTGGAATCTCTGCTACACATTCATGGTGTGTGAGCTGTTCATGGGTCCGGCTCCCTAGAGAAGTGTTAGTTCTATATTGAACTTGCTTATAGCTTACTGTAAGGGTTGCAAGGTTTAACAAAATTGGTTTAACAAATCTGCTTCTCCTCTGTCTCTTCTCTGTCATTCTTAATTATACTTCTGTTTTATTCTCTCTGCTGACTTCTTTTTTCGTGACAAGATGGTGACTAGGCATAAGCCAGTGTAACTGGATGTCTCTAGCTGGAAGAGCAATACGTGCCCAGGCCTGGGTGTCTCCAAGTCACAAATACAGCAGGTGTGTTTTCATTTCTTGAACTTTTCCATCAGGCTAGTACTCAGAAACAGATCCTATGCCTTTCCAAAGAAGAAATATCAGTTGGAGGGAAATGGCTGAGTGCTCACTCACTGATAAAAACAGGAATACAAAACCAGGCAAAATGAAAAAAAATAGTGACTGACACAAGAGGGCAGTCCTTCACTTTTCAGTGTCTTGCATTGTATCACCACCGGGAACAGCTCTGTAAGAGACCAGCTCCTGCTGTTGCAGAGAGGGAGGGCGCTCTAAGGCTCAGTTTTGCTCCGTTCTCCAGAAATAACTCTGCAATGCAAGGACTGAGCTTGCTCGAGGAGGATGGGGGAATAATTACAACCGTTTGACTTCCCTCCCCTTCGTGCTTTTGCTAGCACAACGCTTCTGTCTTGTGAGCTGTCAGCAGTCCCTGACACATACTCTACCAGCGCGGGGAGGTGTTTCCATTCGGGCATGGGGACGAGGTTTCTAACTCTAAGACCCCGGTCAGAACCCTAAATGCCCGTGGAGAGTTTACAAGTCAGATCCGACTCCGTTACCACCTGGATTAACAGAAAAGAGGGGCACCTCTGTTGCAGTCTAGCCGGGTTAGTGTTGCCCTGCAGTAATCTGTCACTCATGTCTTGATTTGCATTTGTCCACAAGTCATTACCCAGACTGAAAGAAAACAACTGGACCTGCTGAGTAGGCAAAGAGGAACTGAGCTTCTGTGTGTGTGTGCAGGAAGCAAGTGTCATTTGATGCAGCATAAATAAATATATAATATTATAATATATAAATAAATATAGAATAGATTAAAGAATAATACAGAATAAAACACTTTTAGGGGTTTTTTTCACCTGACTTCCTAGGAAGAAGGGCATAATCTGGTATTTTCTTTCCAACACCTAAAGGAACGGTGACATTAGAGTGGGGGTCTGCTACAGGCCCCCGGAGCAGGAAGACCGAGCAGATGAGGCCCTCTCTAGACAGAGAGGAGCAGCCTCACATTCACCAGCTCTGGTCCTCGGAGGTCCTCAACCACCCTGGTTATCTGCTGGAGGGACAACACAGCGGGGCATAAGTGACCCAGAAGGCTCCTGGGATGCCGTGATGATAACTTCCTCTTTCAAGTAATAGAAAAGCCAGCAAGGAGGGGTGCTATGCCGGACCTGGTCCTCACCAACAAGGAGGTGTTGGTGGGGAGTGTGAAGGTCAAGGGCAGCTTGGCTGCAGCGACCATGAAATGGGGGAGTTCAAGACCTTTAGGGCAGCAAGGAGGGGGGCGTGCAGCTCGCTATCCTGGACTTCAGGAGAGCAGACTTGGGCCTCTTCAGGGATCTGCCTGGCAGAGTAGCATGGGATAAAGCCCTGGAGGGAAGAGGGGCCCAAGAACGCTGGTTGGTGTTCAAGCATCACCTCCTCCAGGCTCAGGAGTGCTGTATCCCCACAAAGAGGGAGTCAGGTAAGAATGCCAGGAGGCTGCATGGATGAACAAGGAGCTCCTGGACAAACTCCAGCACAAAAAAGAAAGCCTGCAAAGGGTGGAAGCAAGGGCGGGCTCTTACCTTATAACATGATTCATTAATTCAAACATAAACTGCTTGTTAATATAAACTATTGACCTACCCAGCCTACAGGAACATGGAATTTTGTTTGCACATCAAAAGCAGTTCAGTTTGCTCCTCACAATGTTTTCAATAGTGATGTCTCAGGCCCTTATCAAAATCATCTGACTCCGCACAGAAAGCTGATAATCAAAGCTGTCCCTGGCACCTGTCTTTGAGGAGGCAGATTACCCCCCACAACTGCTCCTTATTTACATCTCCACTTAACAGCTTTCTTCAGCTCAGTAGCATTGCAGGAGTTATATCCCTCCAAATAGGAAGATCATGACTAGGGCATGTACAAATTCTGTTTAAATTCCTGCAGCAAGCAAAGACCTCTCTTCCCCTCTTGAGAACAGTTTATATTTGTGTAGAAAGCCCAGTTCATTAATTAGAACCACTGTGGGAATAGAGTGAGAGAAAATGACCCCTTAATGAACTAATATCAGGCAACAGAATTAAAAAGGGTGATCTCCTGAATCCTTGGTCTACACGAGCAACAGCTTGAAAATGTTGCTCCTGAGTGCCTTACATAATGCTAAATAGCAGGAAGCAGGATGGAAGAGTGTCCGTTGATTGCCTGGGTCTGTTCTGTTTAATTGGGTAAGTCAGAGAAAGACAAATTTTCTTGTTGTGAATGTCTGTATAAATAGGCTTAGTAGCCAGTTTCCTCTCAACATGCGTTTTTGCAGTGTGATTAGGAAGAGGACACTAAGAGCTCCTATCCTACTGTATGGTAAAGTTTAAATGAGCTTCTTTCTTTTAACTGATGTTTTAAAACTCACTAACTAAATCCAAAAATGTGGAATGGAGATTAATGCTCTGTTTTCATTTTGGCCGCTTTTCCATATGCGTTTCCACATGGAAAAGATGCATTTTCTGGAAAAGCTTCTCTTTTGGCTTTTGCTTTGTGTTCTGCAAAGCTCTCTTTACCTCTCAGTGTGGGATCCGACTTTATAGTTCTAGAAAACTTTGTTTTGTTGTTGATGCTCTTAATGAGGCTCAAATAGTAATTGAGAGACTTTTAAAAGCCCCCAACCCAGATAAACACTGTGTTCCTTTATGTTTAGTTAGTCTGCTGAGCTAGTAAAAGGGAAAGGAGGGATAGGACTATTCTTAAACTTTACTTGTTCTTACCAGGTATGGTGACTGGGTCCCTGGTTTTGTCAGTGAAAGTGTTTGGAGTGTAAATGGTTAGCTAGCCTTTGGACTTGGATTTTGTGCTATTAAAGTCAGAGGAAACAAGGTGAGATTCTACAGAAAAAGCCCATTTTACGTTCAGGTTTATTCCTCCCAGCCCCATATACATTTCCTCCTGTATTTGCAGACAGGCATGATGTCTCAATTTCTAGTTGGAAACGTTGCAGAGTGTCGCTTAAGAGCCCTCAGATAGAATCCAGAGGTGGGTGTATATCTGTGAGAAATTAAATTATCTCTATGGATGTATTCCTTATAGCTGTTTTTTAAAGTATTCTGAAGCTGTTTTAAAACAAGACGCTGTAAGTGATACTGTTTATTAGTGCTATAGTCATCTGAACTGTGAGTGTCTAAACCAGAAGCCTTTCATGAGAAATCTGCAGTCCCTGGTGGTGGTATAGAATAGTCTCTCAGGAAGATCCAGGATCAGCATATTTCCTCTCATAAAGAATTCATCTATAAGTTTTTCCCCTTTAAAAAATGCTTTAATAATTAAATAGGTTTTAAAAAAAGTTTTCCAGAAGAGAGAAGTGGATTTAAATGGACAGATTAAAAAAAAATTCAATTACCTTCTAACAAGGTAGTCATTCAAGCATGTCTAAATAATTTTAAATGAACGTCTAAATGATTTTAAATTAGGCAATTAACCAAACAGGACTTCACTCACTTAGATCCGCTCAGGGTTACTGTGAAAGCATTTGTCTTTTGACAGGTGTGTATCACGATGCATTTTTCACACAAGTCTCATGCCATGTGCGTAGAAGCTGTGATATCAGAGCACGTAAAGAAGCTGCAGGTGTTAGAGGGTGGTACAGCACCGAAAGGTGACGTACTCGCCATGTTCTCTGAATCTTGGAAGGATGCTCAGACAGAGCATCTACTGCGGAGTGCCAAATGGAAAATGAACTCTCCCTTTCGTATTGCAGAAGAGGGTTAGGCAGTTAGCCATCTAGGGACAGGCTTTCTTAGACCCCTTTTATGGCTTCCAGAGCTTGAGACAGAGGCCTGTTTTTGGAAGACTTGCTTCTCAGGATCTGCTTGAGGCATGAGCACACAGCCAGGCTCTGTGTCAAAGGTGTCCAGAGGACACATCTTCCTAAACCATATATTTTAAAAGATAAATGTTATAAAAGAGAAGTATTATAGATACACTTGCTAGGAATCTCAGAAAACATTAAGGGAGAACATGTGATGGATGTTTCCTTTAACCTTTTCAGCAATAAGTAATAATCCATTGATGATACTGACTGTCCCCTGGTACTCTGCTGGCCTACTGCAACAACGTGCCAAAGATGAGGCTGGTCTGTGCTGAAGAAATCCAGCAAGTCTCCTCAGGATTGCTTGTTCTAAATCAGCTCCAGTGGTCCTGCCAGTATTGGAAGCCATAACCTACAGGTTGCTGATGACCACAGTTAACTTGGTGGTTTTTAAATGCAATGTCTCTCTTACCTAGAGCTACACTGACAGCATACTGATGCAAGCACTCATGGTTTACGACTGGCTTTATCAGGTTGCTCTTGCCTGTTGTAGGAAGGCCCTGCAAAGTGTGAACTCCTGTCAACGTTGTTATTGAAGCAATTCCCCTTTATAATGCTGAAGGCTCCTGCTGCCTGGCTACGGAAACGTGGGGCAGCTGCCTGTGCATATGCTGCTGGGATGTGCCCTGTCAGAAGTCTGTTAGGTGACCTCCATCGAGTTGTTTCCTCTCTTATGTCTCTGTTGCTTTTCCCAGCCTGTCGGTCTGGCGTCTGAGACTTACGTTCTCTGGTGCAGGAAGTTCTCCCACAGCGCCTGCCCTAGTGGGAATCTGGCCATGGAGGAATCTTCTCCGTATTCAAGTAACACTGACAGTTGAGGGGCGGGGGGGGGGAACGTGAAAGCCACAAGCAAACCCCCCCAAACAACCCTCTGAATTCCTTGAGCAGTGGACGTAACAGAGCCTAGTTTTCTAAATTTCTAAGTCTTATGACAAAGTTGCCTAACACTGAAGAATACATAACCTTCAGTAGTTTTATTCTAGCTAGGACATGCATAAAATCTTTCTTGTGTGCATTTTCCAATGCCTAATAAGGGTGAGCTCATGCTGGAGTCTTTCTTGCAGTGGGGGTATTAAAGATCCCTCTTGTCTACGCAGCTCCTGTTTCATGAAACATTTACAAGCTTCATGTCCTTGAAACCTTCAGTTTTCTATCACCTTGCTTGAAATTGGTCAGTGGATTCAGAAATTATTAGCTGGGTGAGGAGAGTGGAAGGAGAGGAGACAGGACATGGATTTGGCTGTGATTACAAAGCCTCATTTCCATAAGAAACCAGGTTTAAAAAGAACATCAAGTGAGAGACTGGTCCCACAGCAGGTTATATGCTCAGCTGGATGGAGGATCGAAGAATTCTGATTTGTCAGTCTAGTGTTTTTCACCATCACTAGATCCACTCAAGTCTGATTATATCCACACAAGCTTTGTGACATCTGTAAGGGAAAAACCCCTCTCTGTAATTACCCAAAGTGCATTTTTATTTGTGATTTGAATTTGGTGCTCATTTGGCACTGTTCAGCATGCAATTTTTCTTCCCTCGTTTGTCCAAAATGCTCATTTTGCCAATTATTTTCTGTTGTTGTTTGCTGGCTGTGTGAAAGAGCCTGTGATGGGGAGATGTACTGCTGGAGAAGCTGGTGCTTACATCGCTGTCAGCAGCTTGCAGACCTGCCTCTCTCCTCACACGCACATGCACTCATCATGAGCACTTGTGCTCAAAAAGAAAAGGCAGACTTGGAAGTAAATTGCCTCAATAATTCATAGGCTTTATAGCCCAGAACAAATTATACCTTGGCTCTGTCATGAAATTCAGGTTGCAAATCACTTTATAGCCAAGCTCGTTAACAATACAAGTGAAGT